ATTTTGGGTTTTATAACTCTTCCTATTTCAAGAAATCAAGCGTGACGTGACACACACACACTGGCTACAAATTTATACACGTTGCATTTTTTTCATATAATCGAATTCTTTCAAGTAGCAAAACTTTGGTTCTAATAGTAGTGTCTTCTAGTGATCACTATTAATCATTAAATACGCAGCGAATGAACGTGCACCAATACAACGTACATGTATATAATATATACATGTACTACATCAAATGAATTTGTTTTAAAATATGTATACCACTTTTTTTCTCTATAATATTTCCAATTAACTCAAACCTAAATCAAAACATCGAAACTTGTTACTCATAAAACTCATACGTACACATTGATAGAAAAGTTAGTTTAATAACTCAATACACGCAGCGAAATGTGTTGACTACAAAAGTGAATAATAATTATTGATTTTTAAAAAAGCAAGTCGAAGGTTTATATTTGTATATTATTAGAACTATTAACCATGTTACATTCAAAAACTGTTTTCCTGTATTCAGCACAGTGGAAAATTAAATTATGTAATTGTATTTTGAATAACAATGCCAATTCGAAAATGAATTAATACTGAATAAAAAAGTGACAACATAAAACAAAGTTATATACGTACACCACGCGTAAAATGCACGAAATCTAACGTCAAATTATAATTTCTTAAAAAACATAAGGAACTTAAAATACGATCCTACACCTCAAAAAATGCATTTTCCCCGAGCAAATAATACAAATAAAAAAAAAAAAACCGCCGACTAATTGCCTATAATGCTACATTGGTATCGAAGAGATATTGCTAACATCACTAAATTTCAAACTCTGTACTTAACAGTTAGAAATTCTCAAAATGAAGAACAAACGTAAGTTAAATTTACTATAAAAATAATGATACAAATTAGCTCATTTCCATCTATTTTGAATAACATTTCAATTTTCAAATACGTCTAATTAATAAACGAACTATAATTTGTATTCCAGACAGTGGCGTAGCAAGGGGGCAGTAGCCCCCGGGCGCAAGTATGAAGGGGCGCAAAATTTCCTCT